CCCCCCCCCCCCCCCCCATTGCATTCTGCCATGAAGATGCATCAGGAAAGGAAAATTACGGAAAGGTGAGTGTACAATTTTCCGTATTTTTATTGCTGTCTGTGCCTTCCTATCCTGTTGACAACAGCCGCCACCCAATTTTATTTCATGGTGTCACGGAGAAAGAAAATGTGGGAAAATCTCCTCAATGGGGGTCACAGAAAATAAACCCCATTCAGAAATTGTGACTCTTTCTCACTCTGTCAAAACTTTAAAGGAGAACTATGGGGTTAAGGCTTTAGCGGGGAGGGGGGAATCCAGCCCCTCCCCTGTCACGGCAGAGAGCCGTGACAGGATTGAGAGGTGAGCGAACACCAGTATGTGTTCCCTCACTTCCCGATCTACTGAGCCGACCTGCGACAGTCTCATTGTCACAGGTCGGCTAGAACTATGAGGATGAGTGAAAAGCGCTCACCTCATAGTTCTCCTTTAAAAAAACCATCTGGAGTTCGGTTGTAAAGGTTCACACTCTAGACCAGCCTTTCTCCACCAGGGTGCTGTAGCACCCTGGGATGCCTTCTGGTTTCCTCAGGAGTGCCTCGAAATGTTCACATCGTCATTCCTCCAATGAGAAGAGTGCTTCTGATGTAAAAAGGGGGGCCCCTACTGTGAGAGGGGCCGATAATAAGAAGGTGGGCTTTTGATGTAAAGGGGAACTCTGATGTGAAAAGAGGGGACTATAATGTGAAAGAGGGGACTCTAGTGTGAAGAGGGGCTCCTAAACAGAAGGTGGGCTCTTCATATCAAGGGGAACTCTGATGTGAAAGAGGGGACTTTGATGTGAACCTCATTTTTTTTTTTTTGCAGATTTGCTTGAGGTTCCCCCTTAAAAGCCACACCTGGCCCCTTACCTTGGATATGGGTCTGAAATGGATTTTGGAGGGACCACATGTCATTTTTTTATATTTACACTTTTTACATTTTAGACTGGGGTGCCCTGAGATTTTTCATACTTTCCAGGTGTGCCGTGACCGAAAAAAAGGTTGAGAGACACGGATCTAGACACATTTCATGCTTTGCTACCCATCTTATATCCCTTGCAGAACTGCCAAGGTCTTATTTTTCACATAAGCTTTACTGCTGAGCTGTAGTGCCAGAAATCACTACATAGGTACTATATTATTATTATACAGGATTTATATAGCGCCAACAGTTTGCGCAGCGCTTTACAATATAAGGAAGACATTACAATACAATTCAAGACAACATGGTAAGGAGGACCCTGCCCCTGAGGGCTCATATATTTTTTTTTACATGTACCTGATTGCCAAGAGGACTCAGCCATATGTGGGACTTTTGATTTATATGCTGTTTCAAACAAAGGACTTTTTATAGGCCCAGAGGATGTGGTAAGTTGAGCTTCCATTGGGAATATGTTGCTTGCAAGTGTTGGTAATGAAGAGGACTAGTGGCTGGTGAGTTGTCTTCCTTACAGCCCCCATACACATTGCAGAGTGAATGGGGAGGAAAATGAATATTACACATGTGCGATTGGACGAATTTTCAGAGATTTGGATGTATCCAAATTACAGATATAACGAATGCAAACGAATCCGAATTTCCGTTTCCGAAATTCATTAGCGGTAGTTTGTTCGAACGTTCATTTCTTTTTCGTTTCGTTTGTTGCAGCAAAGTGTCATTAGAGAAGGAGAAAAACAATGTTTTATTCTCCTCAAATGTGACTTTGCTGCAACGAACGAAGGAATGAACGAAACGCATTAGAAACGAAAGCGAACGTTCGAACGAACTACCGCTAATGAATTTCGTCCAAATCCGAATTGACTTTCACACCCGAATCCCAAAACACAAAATTCAAATCAAAACGAAACTAAACAAATGTTTTGCCAGTGCACATGTCTAATGAATATAACCGTCAAAACTGCAAAGTCTTCCTGAGATGAATGACAGAGCAACATGTTCTTGTCACCCTGACACAGCCCTCCACTGATATGTGTCACTCACGGTACTGCATACGATTCACTGTTTATCTACACGGCTGCAGTGTACATGTAGTAGCTGATATTGTTTTCAGAACACGCAGACATCTGTGGCTGGTAACGCCACTACTTCAGACATTATGGATTTTCGTTATCTCATTTCTTCAACTTTTCTGCTCATTGTTGCCATCATTGGCGTCTGTTTCCTCCTGTACTGTGGATACATCTACTATATTCACAGGAAGTATGACCACATTCCCGGACCCCCCAGGGACAGGTAAGTTCTATTATTTATCTTCAGGGCTTATGCACAAGGAATTTATTTGGATCTGAGCGGTTTTCTTCTTCTTACAAGTCAGTGTGAATGCAAAAGCAACTCACAAGCCGCTGGAGGCAATTCAGAAGCAGCTTAAAGCGAAAGGCCAATCAAAGCAACTTAGAAGTTCATGAAAGCATACTGCATTTGACTTGCTTCTGAATCTGATGCATGCGTGCGTTACATTTTAAACTAGATTGTAGTATTGTGGACCATTAGTTACAATAACTTTCCATTCGCACGGTAGGCATTCAAGAGAAAAAGCGATAGGCATTTGTTGTTCTTTGCCTTTTATATTTTATAAGAGCAGGCTAAAAGCATTGAGCTCAGATCATGAAGTCTGTTGTAAAGGACGCTTTTTTAAGACATCTTCAGAAAATGCTAAACCTGTCCACTTGAGCCAAACCTATCCACTTGACCCAAACCTATCCACTTGACCCAAACCTATCCACTTGACCCAGACCTGTTCACTTGACCCAGACCTGTTCACTTGACCTACACCTACTCACTTGACCCAGACCTGTTTACTTGACCTACACCTACTCACTTGACCCAAACCTACCCACTTGGCCCAGACCTGATCACTTGACCTATACCTACTCACTTGATTCAAACCAACACACACGACCCAAACCTGCTCACTTGACCTATACCTACTAACTTGGCCCAGACCTGATTACTTGGCGCACATCTGCTCACTTGACCCAAACCTGCCTACTTGACCCACACCTAGCCATGTGACCCACACCCACTCACTTGACCCAAACCTACCTACTTGACCCACACCTAGCCATGTGACCCACACCCACTCACTTGACCAAAACCTGCCTACTTGACCCACACCTAGCCATGTGACCCACACCCACTCACTCGACCCAAACCTACCTACTTGACCCACACCTAGCCATGTGACCCACACCCACTCACTCGACCCAAACCTACCTACTTGACCCACACCTAGCCATGTGACCCACACCCACTCACTCGACCCAAACCTACCCACATGACTCCTGGCAGTTTCTCCACTTGGATCCTAGGCTTACCCGGCGCTTTGCAATTGGAAAACAATGGTTTCATGCAAAGGTAGAAGAGCAGCGCTCCAAACTGGGTTTGTCTCAATCCTAAGAAGTGCAGCTAAAGCCATCGATCACAGTTGCGATTATCTGTGAGTTGGGATGAGTTACTGATATGTAATATTTTAGAAGCATGAACTGAGTTTGTACTTTTTTTTTTAGTTTCCTCTTTGGACATACACCGTCAATCCTCAAGCTTTTGGAAAACAATGGCCTAGTACATGATCTGTTTCTGGACTGGTATGTTGGTGAGCATACATGTATCATGTAGAAAATTAATAAAGTATACGATTCAATGCATAGGGGGATCCTCTCCCTTCCCCACTTTCACACAGTGGGGGTATCATCCTCTTCTTGTGTGCCACCCTTCACCCTGTCATGCCATTTACTTCTTCCTTGTACCCAGTTTTTGAAACACCCCTCCATGCAAACGAATCTTAAAAGTCATTCCAGTAAATGTTTAGACAATAATCATCATAATCATTGCTTTAAAGCACTGTATAATTCCTTTGTAGTATATCATTTTTGCCAAGGTTGTCTAAAGGAGATGTCTGTTAATACAGTTCATGCACATGTTTATTTATCTATTGAAAATACAATGAAATCCCCTCTGGGAAAATGATGTACATTGCATGGATCTCAGGAAACCTTTTTGCAGTTCTTACCTTCCCTTCTTCCTGACAAATGGCATCCTATAGGAATACACCTTGCTGAGGTCCTACCATTGCAAAATGAATTCTGATTGATTGCTATGTGTTACTGCATTTAGGAATTAATTAAATAAATATCAGGACCAACAAGGGTGTTAGGGACATTTTCAAAATATCTAAACTAGGCCTTAATAAATTAGCTCCCATGAATGAAAAATAGCACTCTGAGAAGTGTATACGAAGCATGTGTTCACAGCACAGGTAATCTATAGATAGAAACCTTTCTATTACCAGCAACAGTAGCCTGAGAATCTCAACTAGAGGAAGCCACAACCATGTGTCAGAGCAGGGAAAATGGCTGCGGTTGTGTTTGTCACCTGAAGCGGAGTTCACGAACGGAGGCAACATTTTGCTGAACTTCCTGTTCGCAAACCGAATTGTTCGCGAACAGAAGCATTCGTGAAATATATATTTATATATAATGTGTGTGTGTAAATCGCCACCTGACGCGATGTTGTTTGAGGGGGGAGTTGGTTAGTGGGTGCTCTCGGGGAATGGTGAGTTGCGGGTTGGGAGGTTAGCATGCATGCCTGATTTGTTCCAAGAGAGCGAGAGAAGGTGGCGGATGACGGACCATGCTGTCTGCGGCTCTGTCCGGTGTCCCGCTCAGCTCCTGGCAACCGGTGACATCACTGACCTGCGCGGCACTGCACAGAGTGTCACAGGTTGCTAAGAGCTCTTAGCAACTTTGGACCCTGTGGCCGCTCCCCTTGCCGCCTACCTCCCCACCACCTGGCCGCTTCCCAATGAAGTGCCACCTGAGGCGACCACCTCAGGCTACATTCAGTATAGGGACGGCCCAATACATTTATATATATATAGGCTAGATTTTTGGAATAAGGACAACATATGTACTATACATACTTAGGTAGATTTGCCTAACTTTCATTTTGCAGGGCACAGACGTATGGTCCCGTGGTGCGTATTAACATATTACACGATGTGAAAATTCTACTATCAAGCCCAGAGTCGGTAAAGGTAGGACAACAGACTGCAAGTAGAGCTTTCTTTTTTAAAGGGGCTCTGCAATTAAACGTCAGCCCCAGCCCATTTGATGTGTATTATCGCCTTCCTTTTTCTCCTCTACATTCACGCTACCTTCAGCCGCTGAAGAGAGGAAGACATTTGCAAGTTTGGCCTGAAGCGTTCATGAGGTTGGGGACATTCTTTCTGCCCCCATGTCACGGAGCTGGGTTCCTGAGCAGCCAATCACCAGAACAGATTTTTTGTTGTTGTTGTGGTTCAGACTTACCCAGCCATGGTATAGCACACAACAGCATTCCAGACTTCAATTCATAACAGTTTTGAGAAGACCCCGTGGAAGAAATGGTTTTTAGTATTTCACAGAGTTGTCATTATCTAAAATTATAAGGGGATGTGTTATGTGTCTGATTTAGAAAGCAAATATGATTAGATGACCTATTTAGCTTATTGAGTCACTTCTTGTTTACAACCAGTATGATCGTAGAGATTGAAATACTGCATCTTAATTTCAATTACAGGCAATTCTTATGTCCTCCAAGTACAAGAAGGATGCAGAATATAACCGCGCTTGTTATCTGTTTGGTGAAAGGTATGACTTGCTACATGATTAAGCCGTGTATGGTGGCCATACACAGAGCGATTATTTTTATCAGTTTGCCAAAAAAAGGTTATAATTTGCTGAGAAAAATTACATCAGATGATTGATTAAACAGCAATGTGAAATTAGATCGCAAGATGCGACCTGTCCATAGAATCGAAATTGATCAAAAACAAGGTGGGTAATGACAGTTTAATCATGTTACATTTACTTAAAGGAGAACTATGGGGTCAGGACTTTCCCCCATAGTTCTCCTAAGAGTCACAGGAGAACACAAACTAGCGTTCTCCTCGTGACCCAAAGCTCAGTATACCGCCAGCTACAGCTCACGGTATACTGAGACGCTGCAGCCGGGATGGATCCCGACAATACTGTCTGGATCCACCCAGCTGCGGGATTGACAGCTTGCTCTGTCTATCTAGAGGCAGAGCCAGCTGTACCCGCTCCCTCCCCCGTCCGTTTCGCCAGTCAGCGTTGGAGGATCGGACAGGGGAGGGCGGGAATCCCTGCAGGGAGCCGTGAGTGACAGTCACGGCTCTCTGCAGGGATAGATCAAGAAGTGAGCGAGCGCCGGTATGTGTTCGCTCACCTCCCGATCTACTGAGCCGACCTGTGACAGTCTCATTGTCACAGGTCGGCTCAGATTATGAGGCTGAGTGAAAATCACTCACCTCATAGTTCTCTAACTGTCCACTTTTTCTTTTGGATTCTTGGGAGGCTTCATGACCAGCGGTGTGGCAAGAGATTGTCTTTAGCATAAACATTTTGGCTAAAAAGCATCTCTCTTTCCATCCTCAGAAATGCGGGAGGTATATCTGTATGTCCATGTCACATTAACCCCTTCCTGTGAAGGTCCGTGGATTTATTTCTTCTCTCTCCCATGACATATCCAGATAGTGTTCAATCTCCTGTCAGCAGGAACTGTAATTCATACATCTACCCTATTATCTATAGCAACATAGTAGGTGAGGTTGAATAAAGACAAGGGTCCATCTAATTCTATGTGTGTGTGTGTGTGTGTGTGTGTGTGTGTGTGTGTGTGTGTGTGTGTGTGTGTA